GAGGCTGCGCCCGCCTGTTTCGTTTGTCACAGTTCGCAGCATTGCGGGTGACTTGTTCTTTAGCAGTTCAGTAGCGTTGCTAAAAGGCTATTTGTTGATTGCCAAGCAGGTATTTTTATAACAGCACTGTTTCTATACTCTGTTGCCAGGTTTAAATGCTGAGGCCTGCGCTTTGGGGCCTTCATGGAGGAGGATGATTCTAGCATTAGCCAGGATTCGCTGGCTAGTTTGACGGCTGGGGATGTGCTCATTCACTCCACCAGCCTCCACAAGAAGCAGCCCATGGAAAGTGCGGCGGGAGCCAGGGGCTGTGTTCAAAAAGTCAAGATTTCTGTAAAGAAGCTCCGTGAAGTTGTCCCTCCCTGCCAAGCCTCTGATGCAGCCCTGGCTAGAGAAGAAACCTCGTGTGTTCCTCCAGCCTTGCCAGCAAACAGGGCTTTATCTGGCAGTTTAACTGAATCTTCCCCCTGCAGTACTGCCCCGGGTATGTGATACTGAGATGAAATTTGAGGTAAAGTCATTGCGTGTTGTTTTCAGTCATGCAGTAGTCTTACAATTTAGGAAGTTACCTTTGCATTCTAACACCATGTGTGTCAGCAATTTTGCAGAACTTTGTTTTCCAAGTTTCCCCTAGTCATATACTTTTGTTCTCCATATAGAAAGTAACTTAAGGAGGGTCCCATGGTCATGGGCTAGATCAACAGAAATCTATCAGTCTTTAGAGTTCTTGGAGGGGGATTTGTGTATGTTTTTCTTGTTGTTGTTTGTTTTTTTTTTTTTAATCAAAGGATCAACTTTTTAAGACATTATTTTCATAACATTTGTGAGGATCAGGTTGATGGCTGTGGTTATTTGTGTTGTGAAGGTCATTGTATTTAGTTTTGCAAAGAAACAAAGAGAGAAAAGATTAAATTAGGCAAGGTGCACTGCAACTGCGTTAAAGATAATTATGACTATAGTAAAATTGCTTTTATTTTAGGAGTCCAGACTACCGAAGGCCATCCAGAACATCAGCTTTCACTCGAAAATTCTACAGAAGCCATGTTTTTGTCACAAATGGTAGGAAAAGTTGCTTCCAACAATCCTAGCCCTGAGAGAACCATGCTTATATCAGGAAGTTAAGCACACTACTTCTGTAGAAGAGTAGGAATCTGTTTCTGTCTGTTAACCAACTGAGTATTTGGCTCTGCTTCTGTAAAATAACCGTGAAGATACTTGCTTTTATGAGTTGTTCCGAGTGTTATATAGATTTGATTGTATGTGGATTCCTATTCCAGAAAATCTGTCTCTGTCTCTTGGGTTTTGTGTTTGCTGGCATGTGTGCTTAATTTGGCATGTGTGAATGATGCTGGATTCTCTGAGGATAGTTATATCTATTAACTTAAATGCGTGTAATTTTACTTCTTTGTTGGTAAATGAGGAAAATACACTTCTTAAAGTATTTGAAATTCATATTTTGAATATGTACTGCATTTTTTTTTAAACTTTGTCTCCAAATATCATGTTAGTTCTTGCCTAGAAAGTCTAGATAGTTCTACAGTAGAGATAAGTCTTAGCATGTCTTGTTCTAAAACCTTGTGATACTGCAGTGGGGAGATGCTTATGCTTGTGTTTTCAGCAATTTTATCTGCTTCTGAAATTTTGGCTACTGATACCAAAGGCTTTTACATCTGTTTTTCTGCTTTCCTTCTTCTGAAGGATTATCCTAAAGAAGTTGCAGTACAAGTTCCTTCAGTGTCGGAAGAGAGTAGAAGACATGAAAGTAAGACACATTTATGTGCTGTTATAGCCATTTTTTTCCTTAAGAAAACTGTTTCATTGCAGAAAGAACTGTGATTTTTTGTTTGTTTGTTTTGCATCTTTTTTCTTCAATATAAAAAATTAGTGAAAATATTCAGTGGTTTCTTGGGTATATGAAGATAATTTCAATATATGTTTTTAAATATTGCAAATTTTATTTCAGTCTTTCTGGTATACAATGCCTTGTATAGTTCTCATGCTTATCTCAGAGAGAGTTCTGCCAGTGCACCAGAACCCAAGAGGTTCCTTTTGCTTTTCAAACTATTCATGTCTCTGAATAAAGATATTTTGTTTTTGTGTTTTTTGGGTGCTCATTTGGCTATATTTTTATGATGTGGAAAATAGCGGTACAAGTAAATAATAAAGAAAGGACTGCAAGCAACCTACACCCAAAAAAGTATATTTTTAACCTTAATCCAGGCAGTCACATCTATTATTTTCAATCAGATTTGGCAGAAATGAAGAGCTTTTAAGGAAAATAGGTTTCTGCAACTTTCTTGAAAATGTGTGACTGGTTAGAGAAAAGGAAACAATTTAATACCCTCCCATTTAAGACAAAGAGGAATTTGCTTTCCTCTTTAACTGTTCACTGAGGCAGCAGCTGTCTGGCTGATCATTGTGGGTACTCATTGCCTTAGCAGAGGTGAAACAATGAATCCTCCACAGTTTTTATTCTCATCTCTGCCCATTGAACAGTGGATGCAGGAGGGACTGCAAACTTTTTATTTTTTTTTCAAGTTAGAATTTGCAGAATTTTTGAATGAACTCCCTGAATTGCAGTTATTTTTTCTATAGCAACTTTTCCCAAGTTTTCTGAGGATAAGATACAGTCATTGTCATAATCAGAGGATACAAGAATGCTTCTATTTGTAGTAACACTTAATATTAGGTAAATTTGTGTTAACTGCTTGTCTTATTTTCAAGTCTGCTAATTTGTGAAGGAAACAATTTGATACTTAGAGTAGAAAATATCTTTTCAGGCAACAGATTTTTTTTTTTGTAGCAGAAATTTACATCTTGTTGAAATCACATTGCAGCCTCTAAGTCAAGATTGAATATTAGCCTGACAGTGCATATCTGATATCCTTCCCCACAGATGATGTGTTCATATCTCAGTATGCTGCTGGCCAGAAAGAGGCTTTGCTAGTGGCATTAAAACAAAAGTAAGTGTGTGTTGTTGATATTGTCAGCTAATCTGCTTTTGTACCTATGGTAGATGTTTCTGCAATTTCTTTCAAAATGTATAGCTGGTAAGGTGAAAATATTACTTATTGTCCTCTGTGAGTGCTCTTTTTCTGTCTATGAATGTGTTTTCAATTTATTTTATCATTAAAATTTACTGGAATATCTTGTTTATTCTGCATATTTTTAAACCACATGAATTAATGATTTCGTGATACAAAATTTGGTCAAGATTTCCTCTGATAAATAACTTATTTAGTGCCAAACACATATGATATTTTAAAGACCACTAAGGAGACATGCCATCTATCCATAGGCTGGAAATCTTGAAAATCAAAAGTTATTTAGTAGCACTTTGGTACTAATACACTGAACTCTGCAAAAGACAACTTGTAATCATACTCTGCCTGGAAACACCTTCTGTATTAGGAAGTAATATAGAAATAGCACTAGAAATGTAACTTTCAGAAATCTCTAGTATCATATTAAAAGATGAAAGTTTGTTTGGAAAGGTGATACAAGTGGGAAATCATTTCCTTGGAGGGGATTTGAATAAAACAGTGATATTTACAAAAGCTTGTTTGTGTTTGTAGAACCCAAAATCCTCCTGGACTTAAGGAGGTGAAGGTACAGCTCTTAGGAAATTCCTCCGCAGAAAAACAGGGAAATGTTGGTCAAAACACTGGGTCAACACACAGGGAAGTTGATTCCACTACAACCATCGCAGCAGCAACTGCAGCTGCCATTGCTACTACGGCTCCACTTCTTAAAGTGAGTGATCTGCCTCTTTGCATGAGTCATTTGTGATAATTTGATTTTGGCTACTTGAAATTGTATGCGGTTTAAGCTAGGAGATAACCTAATGCTGCATCTTCTGGCTGAACTTCAGAAGAGACCATTCAGTTTCATGTGAAAAGAATATCACATCTGTTTCAGAAAGATTTCTGCAAAATAAGAATTTTTAAATAGCATTTCAAAAAGAAGATCAGTTGTCTTCTGGTAGTTTGTTTAGATATAGCATTGATTTACTGGCTTCTGCAAGCAAACCAAAAGATTTGTGCTGGTTTAAACCAGAGGTTCTTATTTCAAATGGAACTGAATGTGTCCACTAACTTTTTCTGTTAGTGATGAAAAACTTACTGACCATTACACCAGAGAGAATGGTGAGGTCTCAGTTGGATTTGAGTGGTCATAGACACAGAATGTCCAGTTTGTCTTTTGGTAGAGTTTCATAATATTACTAAGCCTGCAGAGATTAGGGCTCTTACTTTGTTTGTGTCTTTTTGGGGAAGAAAATCATCCAGCAATGATAGGAAAGATGTTCTGGAAAGGTGTTTTGGAAATAAATAGAGGTGGTGTTCCTATCAGCTTGCTCTTCATGCTTGCATCTCCAGGAAGGTTTTCTTACTTTCTTTCCCACACCCCCTTTATTTCTTTCCTTATTGTTCTGCAGGTTCAAAATGATTTGGAAGCAAAAGTTAGCACAGTTTCAGCATTAATTGATAAACTACAGGAGACAGATAAACAGCTACAACGTGTGGCTGAACAGCAAACAAATATGAAGACTCAAAATGAGAAGCCACACTGCCATGAAAGAGTCAGCGAGCTTGAAAAACAAATGAATTCTTTCCTGGCACAGCGGATCGAGCATTTGGAAAAGTTACAGCAGCAACAAATGAATATTCAGGTATCTACTTAAACATGCAGAAGCCTTTTACTTAATAGTTACTATTTCTCAATATTAATGTAATATTTCTTGTTAATTTTGATATGTCAAATCTCTTCTTATTCTGGATAGTTTAAAAAAAACAGTGTATAGAGATTTATATTGAGCATTCTTTTTTCTTAGTTTTGGGGAGAGAGAATGATCTGGCGCTCATTACATGAGCGTAGAACTTTCTTGGGAAAAGCTTAATTTCTAGTCTTTTCTCAGATTTCTGTTGTTCTCCATTCCTCCCTCTAGTCATTTTGTGGCAGTAGAGACAACATACAAAAACTGTGAGAAAACTTAATTTTTTGATAATTTGAAAAAAACAAGTTAACTATCAATAATCTTTCAGACAAAAATATATTAAAAAGAGGTGTTCTTTGTCTTTCTGGTCCTTTTTTTAAGAAAGGAACAAGATTGAAAGCGAGTCATTTACAACACACATAATAAAGTAGCATTTCAGAATCTGTTTGATAGGATTTTTATGGCATGTATTGTCCTGCTTAGCTTTGCTTGGGATATTAATGCGTATACCAAAATAATTTGTAACTGGATCTCCTAGTCTCATCTGATTAGCTCTGCAGTCAGCAGGGGTGGCTTGCAGCAGCTTCACGTGCCTCCTTCCAGTCTCATGACAAAACATTTTGAGAAGCCAGAACAGCGTTTGCTTCATCACCCTGTACCTTCATGTCAGATGGATTCGTTTCCTGCTGGTGGTCCACCTGCCCAAGGTAAAACCACATTCAAATAACTTATTTTCAGTGCTAGTTCTACATTAATTTTAATTAATACATCCCAGTAGTAATGTGCATTAAACCTTCATGGGTAGTAGTAAACATTCCTATTTTCTAGTAGAAATTTTTCTAATGTGTACTATTTATGCTGAAAATATGCAAGTTTAAGTTAAAGCAATAGTTTTTTCTTTTCTAACTACATGATCTGCACCAATTTGTTTCAGTTTGAGAGACTGAGACTTCTCTAATACAATGCCACTTTTTTTCTTCATTTCATAATCAACACAGTGTAGACCTTTCTTCCCGTCTATTTTTGTATTCGTTTTGTAATGTTTTGCATTTCTGTAAGAATTTCATAGTATTGGCATTTTTTCCTACTTTTTTTTTTCTGTGAAAAATATTCTTAACATTTACGTAACTTTAAATGAATTTTATTTTTTCCCCTCCCCCTGAAGCATATTCAAGCGAATTTCAAAACTATGGGGTTCATACACAGAAGTCTCCCCTGAAGACACCAGTTCCTCGGAGGTGTGCCCCAGAACCTGTATCAAAAAATGTGAAAATCTCAAAGAGAGAAAACCCTATAGTGGAAAAGGAAAATATTCCCAAATCCACATATGACGGTATTTTCAGTTTCTGTCCTCTAGAGCCTAGGTTTACTCTGTCTAGTCTCAATTCTTCTGAGCCACTGGCTTGTCTGAATGCATGCAAGTAAGAGCAGAGTTTTTGAAAGTGTTTGGGAAAGGTTAGTTTTGGAACCAGTTGGATTGCTCTAACTGCAGACAGACTTTATGACACTAATGAGACACTCACTTGATTTTAAGGTTAAAAAATATAATGACCATTCATTGTTTAGGGAAAATTATGGACAAAATGTTTCTCTGGCTCAGTTAATTAGTAAATTAATATCCCAGTTTAATGCATCATCTTACTTTTCTAGGCAGATCAATCATAATATGATAGATAGAGGAGAACATTGTAATGAGACCTATCCTTAATCAAGTAAATTTGTGTGTGTGTGTATGCTATTTATTATTCTTGGTGAACTCTCCAACTGTGAACTGTCTGGAAATGGAAAAAAATTGTTGAATATATTAAACAAGCTTAACAGTAAGTGTAAGTATCTTTTTCCTCTTTAGGGGGCGGAAAACTTCTTGAGCATATTTTGAATTCTCAAGAATCTCCACTGAGGCAAGATGAGTCTTCTGAGAATGCAACATTAAACAACAATGAAAGGACCTGGCATTCCAAAAGAGACAGGTAAATGCCATGTAACCATTCACAACTGAGGCAGATCTTTTGTTTTAATGAGGTTGGAAAAGATATATTAAATATTGATAGAGTAATAGAGTCACTGGTGTGGACCCTGAGTCTGAGGAGGAAAATACTTGTGCATATAGGGGTTTCTATGATACTTTTGCATTTCTGTCCTTCTTAACAACTGGCCTTATTTACCTTAAGACTAGCAGGTAACAACCATTCTTGGAGGTCAGTGGAAATCACTTGCAGTGCTTTCCTTTCTTCTGAACGTATTTCTTCTGTTGGAGCTGCTTTGGAAGTCATGTCAGGAGATCAGCTGTACACATATTGCATGAGTGGGGGACTGCCTCATTTAAAACACCAGTGCCTGCTTACAGGAGCTTTATGGGAATGTTTCCTTGGGAAGGAGCAGTATCAGCCTATCAGTTTCTAAGCTTTAGGTTAGAAAACTTTCTTAGCCTTCCACTCTTAAGCATAATTTTCTACAGCTAATAGTTTGATGTCGTAATTTTACCAATATAACTTCAAAAAGTTACAGACGCAGTATCTTATTTATGATAGTACACACAAAACATTAATATCTACTCAAGTGAAAACATTTTCAAGTTTAAATGTTGCCCTGTTACATCTGAATTTTATAGTTTAATCTTTTAAAATACAATAGAGCTCAATGTAGAAAGTGGTAAACAGAAAACATCGTAACCCATCTGTAACCTCAAACAGAAAAACAAATTTTGTTTTGATGTATATTCGAGTACTCAGCATAGAGTGTTTTTTTGGTTTTGTTTTTGTGAGTGGTTTTTTTTTTTTTTTTTTTTGATCCACTTGAGGAGGCTTGAGAATTTTAATAAAAGAATGTTTTTTCCTCTCAGACCTACTGCTTTGCATGCAGACTCATTCCCGGCTTTCGAAAACTCCTTCCAAAATCCCAGTTCCATTGAGAAAACAGTAAAAAAAGCAGATGATCTACTTCAAGATCTTGGCCAATTGAGAAGAGAAATGCACAACATGCTGCAGGTAAAGACTGTATTATCACGATGACTAAGAATGGGTAAAGAATGCTATGAAAAACTTAAGAATTTTAATATTGGTACCACTTGGATGTGACCCTATGCCCCATGATCTGGGTGTCCCTGCTTGAGCAGGGGGGTTGCAGTAGATCATCTCTAGAGGTCTCTTTCAACCTCAACCATTCTGTGTAATATCATTAAAAATGTTGCCCCTGCCTCTGCTTCTGTAAGCAAGTTGACATTTGTATACAACAGCTTGAAATACTACAGTTTTACAGTAGTGAAATACTACAGGTGGAGAGGGAACAGAAGGTGGTGCTCTAATCCCAAAGAAGTGAGCATTGACGTTCAGTAGGTCGAAACAAATTCATTCTATCCAGTTAGTGATCTAATATATCCTCACCTGCCTTTGGATAAGTTTCAAAGCTGCTTCTTTTGTCTTTTTTAGGAAGCAAATTCATGGAAATTGGACATGGACAATCTTACTAAGGTATAATTTGAATTACATACTTTGATAGTGTAAAACTGTTTTGAATATTCTTGCAATGAGATGACACTGCTACAACTATTGCATGCCTGTAGTATTTGGAAAAAGTTGAAGTTCTATTTAGAATAAGTTAATCAAAATAAGATTTAACTTGTTCTGACTTTTTCAATGTTGGTGAACTATCCTGTGGGAAGTCTAATAAAAAGGTTGGGCAGCAAGCTGCCCCCTCAAATATGCATTGTGAGGGCTGCCAGTATAGTTGCTGCTTATTGCACTTGATGTAACTGGCAAGCCTATGTCATTTTGAGATTGTATTGAAGATATATATGCATTTTTTATGCTTTTCACAAATTTTAAGTATCTTGTTGAGCAAGTATTTGTCCAATGGTACCTCTAAAAATTAAGCCAACATAGAATTCAGAATGGGAAGAGGATTTTGTATTCCTTTGCATAAATGTAGCAATTATTTTGCTTCTTTTCTAGGAAACAAAACTTCTGTTTTGGGGACTCTGGGGTTTCACCAGGAGTGTGAGACCCATAGTTATATAGCTGCATATTTTCTGTCCCAAGAGAAAACTGTTATTTATTATGTTGCTGTATTATTATGTGTATGTATTTATTATGAAGGTATAGTGATACCTTCATATATTGGGTCTGGAGTTGTTAATAGACTAACAGTAATTCTGATTAGTGTGTAGAAAACTATATGGTTATAATCTTTGAAAGCAAATTGTTCTGCTTCAATTTTAGTCAAAAAAACCTACTGTTGTACCTGATCTTTCTGAACATCAACTCATTAAGCCATCCGTCCTTCATAAAGTTAAAGCACCAAAGTCTATGCTGCAAGATGCTGAGAGGATTTTGAGAGGAGTTCAAAACAACAAAAAAGTCCTTGAAGAAAACTTGGAAGCCATTATCCATGCAAAAGACAGGGATGCTATGTATACTTTTATTAATGCCTTGACTTCAAACAGGTTAGACTATTATTCATCATTTTAGGTAGCAATTTTTGTTATATGTACTCATTACCTCTCTTTCAGTTGTTTCAATTCCATGTATTCCAGAACCACTCCTGTTCCCTGAAAAGAGATTGTTTATGCTTAGCAATCAGAGGTGATTCTCTTGAACTTCAAATATTCTTGAATCTCCAGATGTGATTAGATTTTTTTTTTTTTTGGTCTCTGCCCTCTCTCTTCTCCTTTTCTTTTATAGGTGGCTGTTACTTCTTGGTAGCTGAGATGTCCAATTAGTTGTCTGCTACTTCTGCTCTGTGCCCCAGAACTTGAATTTAAATTCTGAAAGTAGACAAATTCACATGAGGACAAACAGTCCTGTCATGACAAGGAGGCATACACCATTTTTGTATGCAGACTTCCATAAATTGGAAAAACAAGGAGTGCTTTCATCATTCCAAGCAGAAAGAATTTCCTTAACAGGTTTTGTAAATGTTTCAGTATTAATCACCCTGCAAAAAGAGTTTTTGGCTTTTAAATTTTCTTCTGCTTGGTTAGTTGAGTTAAATCAGTTTTGGTTAGTTTTTAAATCATAATTATAGTATTCCTGTTAAAAATAATCAGATTATTATTATAGAAATTTTTATCTTCTTTCTGGCAAAGATTATTATTCTCTTTGTGTTTAAAATTAAAGAAATTAAAAACAGGCATCAATTCTTGATCAAAGCAGGAACTGATATGTGTGTGCCACTTATTTAAATAAATTTGTAACAATGTTAGAATGATAAAAGCAGAGAAGATTTTGCAGGTGGCACTTTTGTAAAAAGAAAGTTAAATTTGGGAAACTAGGATAAGATCTGCTTAGTGCCTTTTGGAGGTTCATAATCTTATTTCCTTTTTGCCCTAGGTTTTTCTGCAGTTCCTACAGGTTTCCCCAGAAAGGGTGCTGCTCTTCCAGGAACAAATCTGTGCAATTCAGGAAGTATTGACCTAAAATAGCCCTTTCTTCTTTTTCAGCGGTATGTTAGAGGAGATCCGAATAAGAAAGACTGTGGATGAGTGGATTAAGGCAATCAGCCTAGAAATCCAGGTATGGCCAAAAAGAAAGAGTTCAGAATACTTGCATTTTATTTTTCTCTCTAGCATGTTAAAGTATGCAGAAAATACAATTCTTTCTCAACCTCAAAACATGAGAAGACTGCTTTTTATTATTATTATTATGTAGTTTGCCATAGTAGAATGTTTACCTCTGTTTTAACAGTTCTGTTGCTTAACGAAAGTCACTTGGTCTCTGCTGCTGGCTAACACGAGAAACAGGCCATTTCTCTGAACTTCAAAGTTATCCACAGTGTTCTTCTGATAGCCTTGAAGATAAAAATTTCCATTTATTACATGTTTTATTTTCAGACTGAATTGGCAAGAAATGATTCTGAACAAGTGAAAAGTGATCGAAAGGCTCCATGGATCAAGAGAACCCAGAACACTAAGGGTATGAAGAACAATAAGGAAATTAAAGCAAAAACTCAAAAAATCCAAGGGTTCTCAACACAGAAGTCTTCATCTGCAGCTAAGCCACTGAAAGCAGAAGACAACATGAGAAAACCAATGTTAAAAACTCTTACTTCTGAAGGCTTGCAAAAGAAAGAAAAAAAGACAGATGTGAGTTCCAAGGCAGTTTTTCTTTCTTTGATAATGACTGCAGTATTTTAGATTGTGATGTTTCTATGTGTAACTAATAACTTTAAATGAAAATGAAATAGCTCTGTCTTGTGGATTTCTGTTATCAGATTGTCTTTGTCTTCATGTGCTCTAAGTACCTAAGCTAAGTTTATAATAATGCAGCATTCATTGCCATGGTATAATTTCCTCTTACACAGCACCAGTTTTTCATCCATCTGTTATTAAGCTTATTGACATGCATATATGTCTGTATGCAATATATACTATTAATTGCAGAACTTGTTAATCTTAAGTTCTTCTTGAGAGCTTGCTAGAGGTAAGAATGGAAAATGCAGTTCCAAGGTAATGATATGTTTAACTCTCACACAGATATAAACCATTTTTCTTTTGTGGCAGGGACTTATGAATGGAAGTGCAGTGGTACAAGACGAGGAGTATTTATGTCAAGTTTATGGGAAACCAATTTACCAGGGCCATCGCAGCACGCTTAAAAAAGCGCCATATCTGAGATTCAACTCTCCTCCTCCCAAGTCTAAGCCTCCAAGACCTAAAGTGATAGAACGCGTCAGAGGTAAGTAACTTTTGGTCTGAATATATATATATATATATATTTTCTCTATTAGGAATTCCTTGTATAAACTAAAATACTTACCTATAGTTTACCAGCTCTTCAGTGTAAAGATTAAGGAACTCCTGTGGGGATAAGAGATACTCTTTTCAAATATAGTAATTATGAAAATTTGGTTTGAAAGCTATTTAGAGTATATTTGACTTATTTTAGATCATCAAATTCATGCTTAACTCTGAATTTAATGGACGTATTGATGCATGTTTATTGTTAAGGAAGTCTTACACAACTGAATTGCTGGAAGTAGCAGCATGAGCACCTCGAAGCAGAGTGTGCTAGAAGGTTTACTCAGCTTTTGATAACGGTTGCTGATGTGTTTTCTTCGTGTCAGGTTTATCCAGTCACGTCAGTTTAGTAATTTGATTCATATGGAGTAAGGGAATCTATTGGGAACTGAAAAATTAAGGAAGGCTGATATTTCTTTTGTCACCTTTAATGTGTGAATTGAAAAATGAAAATTGAAATTGAAGGGTGAGAAGAAGACATCCCTTAACTTGAAAATATTGAAAGACATTTTAATCAAAAGGCATTGGTTCAGTTCACTAAGTGCAGGTCACTTCTTTTGGCAGACAAGTCAGGCTTTGATGCAGAGCACAACTTTATTTTTTCTTTCGTTAGGGTTATTTAATTAACTGATGGAAATATTGTTTTAATTCCTTTAAAGAAAGGAATGTTAGGTAAAGTATTACAATTAAAAGGCAATAATTTTCATACCTATTCAATTTTTTTTTTTAAGAAAAGTAAAAATGTATCTTGAGTCAGTAGGAAATAATGTTTGAATTTGTGAAATGGCTCCGTTCATTGAAACGTGTATTAATAAGTTTGTAATGTCATATATAATTTTTTATTTTTTATTTATATAGCATACTCATATATATACATTATATACGTATGAAAGAAATAAATGGTATAAAGTCAGACCTTGATTAATTCAGAACACAGAAAATAACCTATTTTAAGTAATTTTGTACCACGACTCTAAATTTAGATGAGTTCATCGTGTTGGTAGTGATAATTCTTTAAAAGAATTGTTTGAAAGGCAAATGAAGAAAAAGGAAAGCGAGCAAAAAAAGGGTATCAACAGACATGCACCACTTGTTTCGCATAAAAATGTGATGCCATGGTGTTTTAGGCTCTAGGAATTCATTTTCAGACACAATTAAAATATGCACTGATATCTTTTCTTATGGAACTTGAATGCAAAAACGTTTATTGTCTGCAGATACCCTCTGTATTAATACTATTTTAAAAATGAATGTTAAAAAGTAGACCAATTCAGTGTTTGCTAGTTGTTTGCTAGAGTCTTAGAAATATAGGATTATATTTGAAACAGATTTACAGAGGATTGTGAGTTCTTATTTTTCTGTTTCAGGATTTTTCCTCTAAATTTTCATGTAGTTTTCCTAGTTTTCATGAAATTTTTTGCTGGGCCCATCACAAATCATTAACAGAATGTTTGGAATTGTTTATTTTAATTTTGTCTGTTTTAATTGGCTCTGTTTCTATTTCCTACT